AACAAAAATCTGTTTAATTTGAAAATGGGTTAAAAAAAGTAAAACAATTGAAAAAGAAGTGAAGGATTTTCTTTTACTAAGGGGTGTTAACACCTCGTGTACTTATTATAGATTCCAATTCTTCTTATTAGTTGTTCTTAAAACATCTTGCGAAGTATTGTCCCACTTATATGTTATTGCTATGCTATTCTAAGCTCCGCAATCGTTGTGGGGCCTGAATATCTTGCCTATCCTTGTTCTTATTATGTCTGACACTTGCTTGCAATTGATATTTAACTCTGTACTGTGTGCTGGCCAATTCACGGCGCGCATCTCAACCGCAGGCAAATATTGTTGAACTTGTGAAGCGGCTACTGGTGCGGTTGAGCATTGTGTTGCATTAGTATGAAGTTTTCGACTACGTATGAGGCTATCTGCGCAACAGCGGTGCACATGTAATTTTGTAATGTAATATAATAATAAATTTTGTAATATAATATAGTAATGTAATTTTTTCCTACAATATTACTTTAAATGATACTTAAAGTTTACGTTTTTTTTATTTATATTATATTTAGTCCTATATATTTTTTTATATCTATATTATTATAATATATAAAACCAATTTGGCTAATTTTAAATCGTCTGTATGCATTTCATAGGGTTACACCACTTATACGCTGATAGGCTCAAATCGTCTATTTAAAGGTAAAACCACACAAGTGACATTCGTTTTACCTTTAAGCAGACGAAATATACTGTAACGCACCACATGAGCGTCTAAAATTTTCATTCTATAGCAATGTGTTGTCAAACCGCAGCCAACACCCTATTTTTTTATATGCGACAGGTAGATGAATCCATTCCACCTGATGCTAAATAGAAAATGAAATTCAAACATGAAGGAAGCTACTGCAGTGTTGATACATGATGTGCCCTATCCACTTCCACCCTATATGTCTACAAGACACCTCTTCACACCTCGTTGAGTACCCCTTGCCATAAGACTGTGGAATCATGTCGATGAATACAAATTCCGTTCGCGCCTTCATCGATATTACTGTATTCTACCCCAAACCCACACATGACCTGCTTCTAAATGGAACTATGTCCTCAATGTATCAAAGTTACACATCGCATTGACAAACTCTTCTGCGGTCATCTGCACCTATGGTGAAACGAAAACAATACATGGGCTTCCCATTGCTGTTCAGTCCAATTTACGTATTCACGTAAGCTGCCTTAAGCGAGCTAGTCTGTGAGCTGCAGACAACTTTGGAAATGGCACAAAAGGGATGGCAGAGTGTATGAATATAACATAAATCATGTAACGTATGGTATAAGATGTTATGCTCTTGCAACCTTCTTCTATTCGTGCACTTACGCTACACTAATAGCGGTAGAGACATAGATGTAGTTTTTTCTATATCTATGGGTAGAGCTCACATTACTGAAATTCGCTTTTGAAGGGTACGGGTGCTGACAAAATTACAGGCACATGAGACTTGTCAACTTCTGTCTCAGAGTGACGAGCGCAGTGGCACTGTAACTGCTATAGGCAGGCGTGTTGCTTACCACCAAGCGCACGCCTTGTTCTTCCGGTCACTTATGTGCCCTTGCACTAAACTTAAATGCGCCTAAAGCCAAACTCTTATCACCAATATATTAAGAGTGTCTTTTGCATTGCAAGCATTGATTTAAGACGTACTTACGTTTAGTGCATGTTTGATCAGATCTTTGTGATTCAAAGCTCTGTGTGGCGCTGCGTCTTATTACCAGGCGTACGAAGTGTTTGTCCCGTCACTTGGTTTCATAAAAAAACTGCACTTATTCAGATCTTGTTTCAAGGAAGTTGTCACAATGAACTTATCATCCGGAAGGATTGTTAAAACTGATCGCACCACGTCTTCTTTTAAAAGAACCTATTTCCATACGTCTTCTTGTATATACTGAGAACGAGACTGATTTACATTTAAATATTCTGCAGTTGACCATTGGTCTAAGCTCAGTTGTGTGGCCTTCTCCGTCTACATGTCTTATTATCGTGATTAGAGTTGTTAAATAAGACAACGAATACAAGTCAGTTAATAAATTGGTAATTATAAATCAATTAATAGTGATAAACGAATTTTCTAACAATCCATTTAAAACAACATCTAATTCACATTACCCTAGTAACATGTTAGTCTGAGAATGATCTCACGCAGTAGCGTAAATCTTTAGGTTATCAGTAATGGTTGGAAAAAGGTGTTCCACATAATATATAGACACATGTATAGACATAGCTGCAAGGAGCGACATTGTTAAAACCACCAAATATTAATTAATTACTTTTTCGAATTCCGGATTTCCGGAAATTATTTTACTGCATCGTAGGACAAACTACTGACCTAGGAAGTCGAAGTTGGTTTTTAAAGTGATTCTAATGACGCTATGTAAAAAATGCAGTAGATAATTGAACTGACATTACTCTGAGGGAGCAACATGCACCATAATACAAACATATTTTGTCTGTATGTTTACATAAATATTTACGAAACAAAAAATAATTTTATATTTAGATGTTCAAGCTTGTACATATTTTAATTCCAGTTTTCGCGTTCACTGAGTGAAAGAAAGCCATGCCGTATTTACCACGTGCACGAACTGCATTTTGCGACCGTTGCACATATGCAACGAACATTTTATTCCTTGGGGGCACCACTCCCCCTAAAGCTTCCCGCGAGAGCCATTCATGCGTAAAAACAATGCAACTCTTTGTGCGCCGTGTGAAAGTGTAAACGCAGAACTATATTTCTTGCTTTTCTGAATAAAAAGATTCGAGTTTCCATTTGAAAAAGTTTCTGTGAGACTGCCTTTATGGTTTCGATTTTTCGGAACAATAAATGCTTAAATAAATGCTCATAATAATTGATATCTAATTGTTTTCCAATTCTATTTTGAGAGATACTGATGCGATAATCTATTGATAAATTTTCTCGTGAGAAAACTAGACAATATCAGCTTACGAAGTCGTATAACTTCAGTAGGTATTATTTAATTACATAAGAAATTTTGAAGTTTGCTCCCAGAGTTTCACGAAGGGAACTGTGTTACTGCCTTGTTCATTTAATTCTGTACAAATTACTTTCAAAAACAATCGAATGAATTTGTATTCCGAATTTGTATATTGTACTCCGTTATCATGATGATGTATGTATTTATAATAGAATGTGTTCTTTATCAACATAAAGGACGATGCAAGTGTTTTATACATACCTACAATGGAAGATGTATCTGAAATGTTAATCCAGAGTAATTAAATGGAGGGTCCATTAACATGGTTAATATAAATAAATAAATATTAAACAACATCACATACGTTGCTCTGATTAAAGTAAGTTTACTAAAGCACTGGAAATAGGAAACGAGGACGGTACCACAAACACCGAGACTCGAATGTATCTATCTTTCCCTCCATTTATATTCTTGATTAAGGACGAATTTTAATATTGCAATAGGGCTCGATGCAATAAACAACTACAAACTGCTCACATAAAAATGCAAATATTCAAAAACAGTCCTACGTTGTAAAGTCGTACAAATCTTTAATAAAATCCCTAACACGATATTTTTAAACGATACTTCAGAAATATGAAAATTTTTCGCGATTGTTACACATAGGAAATGAAAAAAATTTTCCAGATTTAAATCGCGTATATTTATTTTTTCCAACAAACCAACGTTTCGGGTCCTTTAGAGGTCCCTTGGTTACGGTTGACTAAACAACTATACGCGATTTAAATCCGGAAAAATTGTTTCATTTCCTAAATATGAAAATTGTTAAAAATTTTAATAAATTTAGTATTTTAATTTTTTATTTTGCATCGATTTGTAAAAATTGCAATACCTTTGTGCAAGGTCATGTTCGCATAGCTAACCTAACCTTAAGACCTTTCAATGAAAGTACATGCATGCAATAAATAATTAGAGGAGTTAGTTTCTAAATTGACCCGGCCGGGGATCAAACCCGGTACATCAGAGATGATGATAGACATGAAAATTAGACCATGGAGTTTGTATCATGTATCAAGTATGAATCTTCAATGCAAATTAAAAACCCATATTTGGTTTACTAAAATACCCTTAAAAGAGGTTAAAGCTAAAGGTTGCAGAACTCATCCGAGTTCTACATTTTATGGAAAAATTATAATCGCTGGATCTATTAACCTTGAAACTTGTAAGTACAATCAAACCCTAACAACCGATACAGTAAACATTATGGTGTCTACAAATTTACTCGATTTTGTCGATCATTACTGGCGATCCATGATGTTTTGACAGAAAGACGACAAAAATTTTGCTGCATCTTTACTTGTAAAGCTGCAAGTCTCCAAGTCCTGTAAACTAGTCCCAGTGCGGACAGCAAAACACCGGTCTGGCATGTTTTTGTAAAATTTTGTAACTAGAACCAATTACCAAAAACGCGATTACGCTCTGGAACAGACCACGTGGTTTCCGAATACAGCGAACAGAAGATTCGAACATTCATAAGATTAAGGGAAAACTAGGTACTGTAACTGGGGCGTAGCTTGGGTTGCGTAGCGAGAGGTACTTTTATGAATTTAAACTGGAATAATCTTCAAAATATAGTTTATTGCACTTTATACATGCTTTCGGCGTTGGGTTATATTTCGTTATCTCAAGATGCTCTATTCTTTTTTTACTTCATTTTTCAAAACATTCTAATTACAAAACTATTCATTCAGCCAGAGATTCTACTCATAGAGTAGAGCTTAGACTACAGTACTAAAAAAAAGGCATTCCTGCAAAAAACAATGCGTGAACATAACCGACTTTATTTGCTGGAGAATACTATAAAGTAGGAAAATGCTTGAGGAGTTTTACACTCACTCAGTGCTATGCATGGTCATACATAGCACCTATCAATAACTAAACTCTAATTAGGCCAATGTGAAAAGTTACGTAATGGGACAATTTAGTTAACAAGCAGACTATTGCATAGGGTATATATGTATAATGAAAACATTTCATAATATTTTTAACTTTTTTAATAGGGATAACTTATATAATATGCAAGGGATAGTCCCAAGGATTTTTCTCTAGTGATAAAAGGATAAAACCATTCACAAATGGAGAATCACATTTTATCACCTGCTCAATAAATACAGTCAACAGTAAGCATAATCTTAAACAATTTTAATCTGTAAATGATATTTAGTCATTTTACAACTCTGGATTAACTGACAAAGTTCAAACTAAAAAGTACGCGCCTAGGAGCGCTCGCGAGGCGGGCGTGATCACGTGCCAGTCCGCTCGGTAGGAACGTTCGCGCGTCCCGCGGGCCCCACCGCACGGGGCCCCTTGCACTAGTCCGAGGAGCGACCGACGAGGGTGCGGAGGAGGCGGGGGGCGCGCGGCGGGTCAGTGCGCCGCCGGCTGTTTGGGGCGGCGGCGGCGCGGCTAGGACGACGAGCCCGCGCCGAACAGGTTGGCGCTGAAGGCGGCGGGCGCGGGCGGCGCTGCGGCGGCCGGCGCGCCCGCGCCTCGCGGCTTCGGCATGGGCGGCTGCAGGTACTCGTGCCGCGCCAGCCCGAACACGTCGATACGCTCCTCCTTGCGGTACGCAAGGCACGCGCGGATGAAGCTCTGCAACACGACGCAAATGCTCAATTCTACCCTACGCCGCAGTAGCATCAAGACCACAAGACCTTGAAGTTCCTTACCTTAGCCTCGTTGCTGACTGTGGGCTTGTTGGCGAACTGAACCTCAGTCGCCTTGAGGATTGTGTTCTCCTCCAGAATCGTCGCTTGACTCTGGTTGTGCCCGAACGGCTTCTTGCCGTAGAGGCACTGGTAGAAGATCACTCCCACGCTCCACACGTCCACCTTACTACTGATCTTTGGTGGGTTCTTTCCGACTACGAAGCACTCTGGTGGCAGGTACCTGTCACAATAACGTACCAGTTAACATCTGTTTTAGTTAATCAATTTTCAAACCTATCATAACGTGCCTATTATAACCGAAATTATTCATAATCAATAACAAAGCCTTTGTCCGACTCTTATTATGAATGAATCATTACATGTCGTAATTAATATTCATTTATTGTATTACGGAATACCTACACGAATCAGTACGGTTAGCTTTAATTAAATACAATATTACTATAAAAGAAATAGTACATAATGTTGCGAGCACAATGAAAATAAATGTGGGTTATTTTAGCATGATATTTTATTTATAACCGTTATGTTAGCACCACGTAGCCACTATAGAGGGTACACCATATCTTAGACTTTGACATTGGAATTCAATCATAAGGGTGATTATATACACTAATAAGCACATAAATTTTTGGCCGATGTCGGCACTGAATCTGTGTTCGTTTGCTGCGATGACACGGAGCCATAAGCCACGGAGAATAATTGGGAAATAATCTAGGAAGGGTGTTGAGGAGATCAAGCCATACGGATAACGGAAATTGTGTCAGTGAGGTCATCACAAGGGTTCAGGAAAAGGCATACAGGAAAAAAGTATGTATGCTTAGATCACAAAGATCATCCTCAAACTTCTTCACTTACCAATAAGTGCCCGCGCCTTGGCTGGTGAGATCCATGCCATGATCGGGGTTATAGTTCTCCTCATCCATAACCTTGGAGAGGCCGAAATCGGTGATCTTGATCTCGCCACAGACGTTACCCTCGGTCAGGAGGATGTTGCCCGGCTTCAGGTCGTAATGAATCACCGGCGGTTTGATCTCGTTTAGATACTTGAGCGCCGACACCACTTGCATCACGATTGACCGAGCCTCACGCTCCGGTATAGTCTTATGCTGGAATTTGGAACACAAATTATTATTAGCGTTGTTATATTTACATTACCACAAGGTTGATTTAAGTTTATTTGCTGGTGAAGAAAACCAATGAAGGACAAATCGTCGCTTAGCAAACAACACCGCTAAGTAATTTCAAGTACAATAATATATGCAGGTTTTTCACGCTCCTATAAAATGACTTGAAATGACTTAAGCGGTGTTGTTTGCTAAGCGACGAAATGCAAATACGCAGAAGCGTTAAAAATGTGTATTAGGTTGTAGTCACACTAGTCACATTTAGTCCGCTAAATGTGAAAACCGCGTAACTTCGTTTCTGGATGAAATCCCTTTTTTACTCTAAGCGCAATGTCTAAGCTTAAAATATAATTTGTAGACACGTTTTTAGTAATAAAGTAAAGGTATAATCATAGATTGTTATATATTTATTTCTAGTAATTATTTTTGTGCCTACTCAACAGTAAGCATTAATGGCGGTTACGAGGTTCAGAAATTGAGTCGACGATTTGTTTCAACTGCGTCGCAAACTGAAGGCGGCCTGCACTAGTTGGCTGCAATCGATTTAAAACTGCTTTCCGGCAGCATTCCAACGCTTATTTAGCATGCTATGCAGTCAGAATGCAGCTCGTCTCACCTGGTTTAGTTTAGCTATTCTGAGGCAGATTCTCCTTATTGCCTATGTTATAAATTTGTATATTAACAATATTACTCTCGAACAAATCATATAAATGTTTTGTGATACGATTTATTGGAGCTATCACACACATGTGCCATAAAATTTAGAGAACTTTAGGTAAAAGTCTAGGTTCTGAAAAACAGTCGTAGCTGTAACTCTAAAGCGTGAAACACACAGAGAGCGGTTGTGGGTCGGGCGCGGGTGCGTGTCCGGTTAGACCGTGGTGGGTTGGGTGCGGGTGTAGGTAGGACGCGGGTCCAGCCAGGACCGCGGCGGATCGGGCGCGGGTGCGGATCGGGCGCCGGTGCGAGTCGGGCGCGGTTCCGGTTGGGAACGCGGCGGGTCGCGAGTGAGGACGCGTATCCCCGGTCGGTTTGTTGTCGTCCATATAAATACAGGGAATTATACATAGCGACCGCGTCCCGACCCGACCCGACCCGCACCTGGTCTCTGTGTTTCACGCTTTATTCTTTTGACTACATACACACAGATGTTATTAATGCTGAGAATATCATGTTCAAGGACAAATGATTCAATTAAACTTTTTTTATAATGCAATAACTGCTATTTACGAGATCATCATGATCAATCTTAAGTCTCAGGGTGACGGGCGCTAACGCAGTGCACCTCATATCTTTGCATTTAAAGCTCTGAGTGGCACTGCAAACTTGTTCGTCCTATCACTTAGTAATATAAAAATATATGTATGTATTTATGTGTATATATTATACATACACACTCCCGGATACATAATTCGAGCCACTTTGCATAGTCAGTATTAAATGTCCTTAGCTTAAGTAATGTTTGATTGATCAATAACTAATTCAAGTTTGAAACTGGTGTACTAAACGTCATGTTCAAAAGGTTTTGTTGAAAATTCCGGGAAAAATCTTTCTTCAATGATAATAATATTTATTTTATTCTAGCACTTGAAACATCAAAATGCAAGATAATTCGATTTATGTGTCCGGTAGTGTGTATCGAATATCAATAACAGCGATATTAACAAATTGAAGCACGTGGTTGTGTTCAACAACAAAATATGCGACATACCTGTTTGAGATAAAAGTCGAGATCATGTCCATTGCAGTACTCGAGAACTGTACAAAATGAGTTGCCATCGATTTCGAACACATCGTAGAGCTTCACGATCCGCGGATGATCCAGCGCTTTGTGAATGTTGTATTCTCGCAGTGCGTGTCTGTCACAAGAAAAATATTATGCTATTTTTATTAAGAACCAGGTTTATAACGGCATTATAATATAAATTTATAAAGATCTGTCGTAGTTTTATGAAGTGTGGTAATAAATGGTACGGTTAACTGCTGAACTGTCTTTATCAAGATCAAGCTCCGGAGGAAAGCGTCAGAGGCA